CCCCCCCCCTCCACCTTTTAACCTCTTTTCCAGGCAAAAAATAGTTCTTTGCGCAGACGAAAAGTTCCATTTTACTTTCCCCTGCGCACAAGTAAGTGGAAATAGAATTGGTTGCGAGAATCATCTGCAAGTTTAAAGCATAGTTTGGACATTGCTTTTCCTATTTTGTTTACTCCTTTTTTACTCACACTTTATTTACTCAGTTTGTAAATAAGATAAGATCTGATTCAATCATCCAAATTTACGCGCTGTTATGTTTTCCACGTTGGCTGATGTAATTCCTTCCCAACAAAGAAAGACATCCACGGACTACAGGGACTTGAGCAGGCGCTTCCAAACCCTGATGTATGAACGAAAAGCTGGGGTCCATGTCTGTCTGGCGTGTGGAATGTCTACTTTGGAGTTGAAACAATCACTCTTATCAATCAAATCAAATCGATTGGTCACAAGTATTGTCGGTCAATTGGCCTATGAGGATGGCAACTTGCAGAGCTGTTTCCTCCATGGTGGCTGGATATAAATTGAAGTCAAACAGAAATTCGTGAAGTGTGACACTTCTTGTTGATGTTACCTTCTAATTAAGTTGTCGTGGATTGACGAATATGATTGATATTATATCAATTCGACAATTCGTCCCCCACCACTCCTCCCCACATTCATTCTCATTTCCAAGTTCTTACAAACCTGGTGACTTTAGAATGAGGAATGAAGTGGCATGAATCTTCCCACTCATTTGGGTCATCAACCAATTTACCTATTCCTCCCAATGACCTGGATCGTTGCTTATGCTTAGTTTTCACTAAGACACTACAACCAAGTTATGCTAGGCTCATCTATTGGACATTTTGTGTCCTTTAGCTTTTCTGAGTTCAACTTTCGTTACAAGGACAACATTCATTGCTATAGAAAGTTGTATTTTCGTAGTACCCTTTTCCTCGCAACCAGTACTCTGGTCTTTCAAATAAGGTGTCCTTTTTTTTGTTTATCAAGTTAGACTGCAAGCTCACTCATGATTCGCTCTTTCAAGAATTTGGTTTTTTTTTTCTATCAACACCTCTTCAGACCCGAATTAACTCATGGGTTTAATCATCCACAGATCTTGTTACGCGCTCTGACAGAGAATACACGCTGACCACTGCGCGCCACCAAAACAGAAGTTTGACCCAAGTGAATTCTGCCAACGCATTTCATTCTGTTCTACTTTCTCTCTTTGTGTGCGTGCGTGCGCGTGTATGAACCTTGCGTGCTTTGTTTCAATTCTACATCACATGTGTGTGCGTGTCTATTGTGTTGCATCATTTTAACTACTTTGAGTTCATATCTATATATATATGGGTTGTGTAGGTTTGTGTCTGAATCTTATTGATCACATTTTATGTTTCAATAGGGAAATAGATCTATAGCGTGTGCATGTTTTTACCAAATCGCCTAATATAAATATTTTTTTTAAATGACATTGCATGCTAATTTAAGCATGGAGGTTAGTTTCGCGGTGGTGTAACGATGAATGCAAATACCTGTCCAATCATAGATCACATGTTCGATTTCCTTCACACCGCCTAAAATGGAAAAATTTACCTATCATACTGACCAAATCTTGACACTAGGAGTTTGGTATCATCCCTTAATAGCGTTTTGTTTTCAATTTTATTATAACGTAAAAGAAGGTGTCTTTAGCAGAATTGCCTGAAAGTAGCGTGTATGTATCTATGGGCTCAGTTCAAGGTTATTTTTCAATGGAGCAGATCAGAAAATTAGATTTTAGTAGCAGGGGCAACTTACTTAGGCGTGGCCTAATATTGATTTTTTCCAATTAGCTTACTTTGTGACACCAGATCCCCATAAGTGCCAATCAAATGGAAGCGTAACTTGCAATATTCTGCCCAAATGCCTTACTTGGATTTACGCCTTATCTTTTAATTGTCGCACTCTCTTTCATGTTTTACAGCACCGATATCCCACTTTCCTGTTAGATAAGTGAGATCATACAAGCCAATGAGGCATTAACACAGTACTTTTTGTGACCTTGAAATATATAGATGCGAACAGATAGTGAAAATACAGGGGGGAGGGGGGGGGGAATAAACCGGACCTGGTTAATGAGAGCGCTGCTTGTTTTCAGAGGAGGCTATTTAATAAAATAGTTTTTTTTCGTATTTTCTCGTAGAACTTCTCCTTTGGATCTGCTTGAAGATCGTTCTTTTTTATCTTCTTTTCTGTGCCTTAATCGAGAGCGCATTCAAGTGATTCGACCTGGCTTCCATCCCAAAATTTCCATCATGTATTCAATTCACACTCATTGAGGAGAACATCTTTCTTCAAATCTACCCATTTTCGCTAAAATTCTTTCTGCATTTCTTGTTTCGGACTTTCATTATTGACGCCGCGAACTGAATTCAGCTTTAGTTTTTTTTTCAATGGGTGATTTCCATTCTCTGTTTGCTTAACACAATTCATTTTCAAGTCTAGTTTTATTTCTCTTCACGGTGCCGCGTTTTTTTACCTCGAATTCGCCCGCTTCAACTTATTCAGTAGCTTTCTTTGAGCAGTCTGGGTGTTCTTTCTCACTTGTCTAAACACTTTCACCCCCTGAAATTCCAATCATCATTCCTTTAATGTGATTTTTCATCACTTCATTCCACTGTTCTGAGCATTTGCCAACAGACAACTGACATATTGCCCAATTTTTTCTCAAAGACCATACTAAAGTAGTTGACATTTGAGATAGGCCTTCGAAGTGTCAGAAGATATGAAAACAATTACTCACGCATCGCGGACATAGATCATTCAGTCTTTAACATTCTTTTTGATTGCAGTACAAAATTTAAAGCATGCGCGCTTGTTTGTTTGAATTTTCTTTCAATTCCCAAGTTGTACGCTATGCCTCAAATCCATTCAAATTCCTTGCAAATGAAGTTGGAATACAACCTTTAATCACATCGTGTTTATTGCCAGTTTTTTCAGTAATTTGGCGTTTTATTGCACTTTTATTTAATAGCCCTTGAGTAGTATTTTTCCATATTTCTGTCTACTAAATCATTTACGTCATTTCTTACCCTCTGTTTTTCAAACGTGCACTTTGAGAGACGCCCAATATTTGAGAATTTTGTTTCTAATGCATATTCTCATAAAATTTCATTTATTTGCTCTTCGCGCTAAATTTGCGGATTGGTCATTCTAATTATTCCCTATGCAACAAGATTTTGAGTGCTTCTCGATAAAGTTTTTGTTTTTGCTTTGTTTGTCGCTTCAGTTAAACAAAGTGATCCCTTTGCCCAATTTGTGATTGGTTATTTCATGGGTAGGATCGTTGTCTCGTCCGTTGCCTCTAAAGTACCACAAGTTAGAAATCCGTGGACGATATGACAGGTTGGGGGGGGGGGGGGGGGGGGAGGGTTCATTTAACACAGACCTTGAAAGATTAATGATGGTTTTCGGAGTGTTTGAAAAATATAAATGACCAATGTTGGGTTCACTTTTTTGACATAGAACCAGTGCTAATCATTTCGGTAGGCGGTCGTAGACAATGAGGGTAGCAAAATCTGCACACTCCATTTTGCCTTATTCTGTGTTTGGTTTTATTTTAAGCTTATTTAACGCCTTGGTGATCGTTTTTCGCATTCAATCCACTCTAGTTGGATTGGAACCCATGGCGTCAGACGAATTTTCCTCTGACCATACTCTGATCATTTGTTTGAAGAGGATTACTCTATACCATGCGCATTCTTCAAAAAAACTTCAAGGTCAAGTTAGCCTGTGCAGTTTATTATGTGATCTCTAGTTAATTCTTTAGTAATTTTTCTTTATGTGAAGCATCGTCACTTCCATAAGGGCAACGGTATCACAAAGTTTCTTGCTACAACAGTTAGTGCGTTTTTTTAAGTATTTGAGCTCTGGTAAAGACTGTTGTAGAAAATTAATAACCGAAATACGTCCGCTGTGTGGAAATCGGTGCGCATACATATTGCCTCTAATATTTTTCATTTCTTTAATCTCAGGCGCCTTGAAGACGATGCATTAACGTACGTTTTTACACCATAATGGTTGATAGTTATTTCTTTATGGCTCATGTTCTTGCCCCCCCCCCCCCCCCCCCCCCCCCCCCACCCCCCATCGCCATTTATTCAGCTTTGCCAAACTTTACCCCCGGTTGGTTGGTTGCGCGTTGGTTTTATTTTGCTTTCATTTCCCTCTTTGAAATGTTATACTAATGGAGTGTTTTCGTGGGCTCTCTCAGAAATTTCAATGGTGGCAAAGCTCTCCACTTGTGAGTTCTGGCGGTTGTTTCCCGAGTTCTCGTTTCTTTGTTGTTTTTAATCCGCGTTGACTCCCTAGATTTATTCTCCCTATTTCATCGCCTTCAATTGGCAAGTCAATGGCATCAGAACTGGTGAATGCTACATGACGGAATTCCATCTATTGCACTCCTTCAAAAGTACCGGAACTTAAGTAGATTTATGGAGTTGGCGGCGTGGTATTCGTTTCCCTTCCGACTAAATGGGGTCACAGTAAAACGACAATCGAGTTACTTATTGTCTTCCAATTTAATTGCAAGCGTTTCAACCATTAGAATCCGATTTAGGTTGGAGATCTCGCCTATACCTTATGGATAAGGCGATCAATTACGACGAAACGCACTGTGTGTGTTTATGGCAACTTTTTCCTGCCCGAGCGTTGTAGTTGGTATTCAAATGCTTTTTTAAAGTTATTTAGTTGCTTTAATAGTGCTTCAAACCCGCTTTGATAGATTCACTTTTCAGTCCATTCCAATTAGGTTTTCGAGGAAAGGAAACGTTTTTATCCCATTGTGTGTTGCTCTCCCAGAGATAGTATTCAGTTCTCTAACTGTTTACTTATTAATTTTCACCGTTGGAGTCGATCACCCTTATTTCTTGATGTTTGGAGTCAATTCTGTTAGTGTTTTCATCATCTTGGGCATCGTCATACACCTACACACACATCTTGTTACCTAAAGCAATTTTTTAGAGAAGCCACACCTGCTTTTATTGGATAATCCGCCAGCCAATCGTTTTTCACCTACTCACGTTCGTATTAGTAACATGATTTATCAATTTTCCGTCGGAATAAAAATTAGTCTCTAGTGCTCATCCAATTATTTGAAATTGCACACCCATCTCTCATGATGTCGATTCTAATGTTTGATTGAGAATCTCCCCTGTCACTTAACTATGTTCCAAAATCTTTCCCTTGCACCGCTTTGAAATTCGCTAGTTTCACCAAAACACCATCCATTTTCTCCTCTTCCTTTTCAGTCAGTCGTAAGAATCTTAGTGAAGAGAAGTGTAGTAATTCCTTCTTGCTAGGCGATCAAAGTCCGATTTCTCATTTTTTTCCAACATTCGCTCAGCTGTAGGAGCCCGTTCTGATATTTGGCTCAGTGCAGACCCTGCATTGCCTATGTTTTTAAGGCCGTCAGGACCTGTTTCATTCACACAACTAAATTAGTATCTCACAAAATCCCTAGTTCTCTTTTAACTGTGGTGCCTGCCTTCTTCTGATCAAATCTCGTGAAGAAAAATTTTATTATGAGTCAGTCACTTTACTTTTGTTGTTGTTGTTGTTGTTGTGTGTGTGTGTGTGTGTGTGTGCTGATGCTCTTAATTCTACTTGTTAGAACCCGTAGGCGTCGTCATAGGAAACGGTGCTCCAGGTAATATAGTTCTAATTCTTTTATTTTTAGTGGTTACTAGAATGATTCACCTCAACAAACCTCTAATGAGTTTTTTTTGTTAGATTTGACTAATTCGCATATTATTTGCCTAAGTGTAGTACACAATGTCAGTAAATACATAATGCCAGGGTGCTTTTTTGTTTCAGGTACCCGGTGCAATTGGATTTCGGCGATGACCTACTCTTCAACCGCGACATAATTCATGCGGCGCTTAAGTCGGTCGGATTGGACGATTCCATGCTTGATGTACCCTACCCTTCTTTCGATCCCCTCAAAGCCCTCCAATCCCTTCGAGTTGCAATGCTTGGCAGTTCGGCTGCCATGTTGGCAGCAGTGGCAGGTGGTACGGGGTCTGTGAATACACCCGGGGGTCGAGCCAGTGGCGCCTCCGATTACGGCTCGTCGACCAATCGATTCTCGGGATGGGGCACATTGCCAGGCTCTCTGGGCTATGGTGTTGGAACGGCGGATAACGCTCTCCGGACTGGGGGCCAGTGTAAGTTTTCGAATTATTACTCATAAAGGCCTATTAGTAGCATTTTACCATGACTCACATCTCCCATATAACGTTTAGTAACAAAGGAGTCCATAATGGTATTTCCAAATACTTATAGAATGTAGCATCACCTTCAAATTTGAATTTGTTAAATTACATCCCATTGTGTCTTCTGTCAATCTATCTAAATACACAACTCGTCTCACTGTAGGACAGCCAATTCTAGAGGTCTTTGTCTATCGACCTCCATACCCTCTCAAATGGCATGATATCAATTTTATCATTCAGTGTATTTGTTTCCCTCAGGCAATTGCCCCTATAATGTTTGCAGTATTTGTTGCGGTACAGTAAATCTAAGCATGCAAAATCTTTCCTATTGATCTTTAAGTCTCAAAGAATTGTTTATTGTCGTGATTTATGAAAAATGGACGTTGGAATTATACAGTTGGGTGTAAAACGGTTTTTTTTGCTTTTTTAACCCATTGTTTGGCCTTAAAAATGCCGACAATCGCTTCGACTGTTCGCTTCCAGCTTACAACTACAATTTGAACTCGGGAAAATGCTGACTGCTCCCAATCATTTGATAGGTGGTGGTGGTGGTGGGGAGGGGGGGGGGGTTACAATTACTAATCCCCCTCCCCGTCCCCACCATAATTTTTCATCTCTTTCGTCGGCACTTTCTCTTCTGCTCACAGCCAGTCATGTATCAGCAAAAGTGTACTCCTATCCGTAACTCGTGAAGTGCAAATAACTTCAATTTCTTCAATTTAAAATAACTCATCTGATGGGGTGGTTGGGTGATCGAATCTACTGAAAGGCATGATTCACACACTCTTATAGAGCTTGTATTATTTTTTGTGTGTTGCTAAAAGGTTCTGCTTCACAATGTACTCTTGGAGGTAAGTACCACTTCCAAAATGCAGTCTTGTTCATGTTTTTTCCAGATTCCCCTCTTCCTAAATCTTGTTTCCCCTCGTAAAAATTTATCCAAGTTAGTTGATCTGCTTAAAACGGTTGATCGCAATTTCTCTTCCTTTATTAAAGACCCCTGTTTCGTTTTGTTATTATTATTATTATTATTATAAGCCGATTTATCCTCCTCGAAAGGGCCACGATTTCCAGAATTCAGTTGAAGTTGTTAGTTCTCAAAACTGATGCTGGGCAACGACCTTCCAATTTGCCACGTTCAAACATATATGTGGAAATTTTATAAATGACGATAAATTTAAATTTAGCCTCCCTCTCTTGAGTAAAAACTATTCATTTTTTATCCAATCCCTCCCGTCAAGGCATTTTTGATGTCGTCGGATTTTCGGAGTCCTAGGCAGGAGGTCACTTGCCGCCCAAGTCGATTTCCATTAGACTCGTTTTCAGTTTGGAAGATGCGTGCCCATATTCGGGCACCAGCGTGAAGCAACATCGAGTGTCTAAATTGCTGATGATTAATAATCTCCTCCACCCCTTGGGACACGAAAAGCGGTCGTTTCTCTCTCTCTCTCTCTCTCTCAACAAGTTGCTCACTCTGTCCATGGAGATTTAGTGGAAAGTGTGAATGAGGGGGCGGGGCGGATATTTGTAGACCCCAACAAAGTCTACAAATTGAACAGAAGAGAACCGAGTGATCTTCCTGGGCAGAATAACTTTTAGTACATCTCAGTTGGCTAATACCTGGCGAAGGCCGATAATAATAGTGGTGGGGGTGGTGGTGGTGGTTGTAGCCGACTCAATTTCTGTAATCTCAGAATACCTTGTCTATTAATCTCCCCCCCCCCCCGATAAGATGAGAGGTTCCTTTTAGTGGGTCCAGCAAGATTGAGGTCAATGTGAGGCCGTGGAACTTTAGATTGGTAGCTCTTGATGTAATCAAGGCAAGTAAGTATCGCAGCCATTTGGTTAACTTCTCGCTTCCATTTTGCACAACTTGAAATCAACAAAACGCCTATCAAGGCCGATTTTCTCGGGTCATTTGTTCTTATTATCCACCTCCCCTCCCTCTCTCCTGATCGCTGGTGCGACTTTTACTTGTACACTCCCTCCGACTGATGAATGCATCTTCTAGTCGTCATTGTCAGGATTGATTGTGTTTTTGTTAACTTTTCTTCCAGAATATTTGTTTTTTGTTGTTGTTTCTATTTCGTTTACTCTGAATCCCATTTTGTCCTTATCCTTGTTCATCTGTTGAATGTATATATATCTCACTTAGAATTACAACTGCAGCGCTCAAGCTCTGAGTCTCGAATCGGTAGTAGTAGTAGTAGAGATCCTCGGTGTTTGAGTTCGAGGTGTGTCCTGGCGAGGCATTCTGACACCAACGATTATCAAAGTTCAACAAGTACTCTGTTAAATCATCGTTCAATTGATCGTTGGGGCGAACTCAATACTCCACAGCTCTTCCCATTTCAAATGCCCGGAAAGTGGCGTTGCGTTGATTTCTCAGCGTTTCATTTGTTTCTTTGTTTGTTTCTTTCTTTCCTGTTCTGAAATTCTTATGGAGTTTTTTTTTTCTCTTCTTAACCCCAGTCACTTCATAACATCTGTTTTTTAGTGGGCTAATGACGATAATTACAATCTCTTCCAATTCTCGTTAGAAGGGCTCTTCTGGGACTCGTCGTTTGTAGAGGGGGCTGTATTCTTAGTGTCATCAATACTACTATTCTAGCCTTATTCCATGGTCTTACCTTCTATTTCATATCTTTTTTAATCAAATTTAACTACACCCCCCCCCCCTTCATTTGAACTGGCCCCGGCCAAGTGTTGATTTTAGTGCACATCCTCTCACACTCTCTGCTCCAAAAACTGTGTGTCGCTGTTAATGTTCAAATGCTTCTTTTTCTATTGAATTTCTTGCAGATGGATCGAAAGGTGGCTTGGCTAATAGTCAATCGATGAGCAGTTTGTCGATGGATGGAAGTGCTCAATCAGTCCCCAACGCCGGTTCTGTAAGTCTGGCTTTATTTCTTACCCAGGTGTGTCCCCCTTAGTTAAGGTCTCACATATGACTAGGCTACCGCGCTTTCCACTTTCCAAAATCCCCGTCAAGTAGAAGAATAATAATATCGAAAGTGAAGTTCACTAACTTTCATTGTGCTGATGAAAGAGCGAATCGTATTTAACGCGATATGAGTGCGATATGACTCACCGGTGGGTTGTTGCTGATTCCCATCTGCTGCGGGAGACGACCCACGGGTGGGTCGTCTATGCAAATTTATTTATTTATATCAAATGGAAGGCGTGTTTTGACGGTTATCATTAGCCCATTAGTTGACTTCAGGCTTCACAGAGGGGAGGAGGAACATCAAAGTTAAAATGTCGAGAAGGGGGGTGGGATTAGAAGAGCGTTTCAAAGATGTAAAAGAGATAGACACAAAGGTAGAAAAGGGTGGGATGAGTACTATGGAAGTAGTCGAATATAACATAGAGTGAGGTGATGGTAGTTTGACGTCAGAAGTCAACTGCCGGTTTATAGACTTTGCCGTATGAGTATACGCGTTGCCCAGGGTGCAGCACGTGGAGGTAAGTCTATCGCACACCCCTCGTCTATAAAAGTAATTGGACACATTTAAAAGAACATCAAAAGTTGGTATTATTGCCACTTTCAGCGCAGTCGTTGTTGATAGAGGTTTGAAATGATAGAAGATGTGTGGTCAACTCTTATTTGATTACCAGAGGCGCTGACTCTGTAGCAACCCAAACATAATCGCACCACCGGGCAATCAACGGTTTCGGCCATTGCATTCAACGTGTTAAAAGGGGTTGTAGGCCAAGGTGTATGCATGGAATTAACCCATATGGGGAACTTAAAATAATTCATAATGGAGTCGTAAAATTCGTCCTCATTTCGTTGTTTCTTTCCCTCCTAGGAGGCGTCAGATCTCGAGAAGGAAGAAATGATCTCATTCAGACACGCCCAACAAATCCTATGTAAGTTGACGCTTTTTGAAAGCGATTTCTAACATTCGCATGCACGAAAATATCTTTCCAAAGGGAGTAAATAAGGGGGGGGGGAGTAGCGATAGGGTGAAGTTTTTTCTGCACATTTATTTAACATATTCCTTATTCTTCGCCAATATTTTTTAGACGAATCACCAGAGACACGGAGACGACGAAAATATGCCGAGAATATGCAAATGGCTAATACTTTCGATAATGCTATCGGTAAAGCCCCAATGGACTTCAATGAACTCTGTGCCCTCCACACTGAACGGGTATGTTAATGCTCTTATTGGTATTAAGTCTACTGAATTTTATTTTAGTAGTAATGATTTTTATCAATTTTGATCTTGTCTCCCACATGCAATCTGGATAATTTGATTCAAAGAATTGATTAATTTGACTCATTTTTGCCTTCTTCACATTTCTGTGTGGTCTTTTCTCATCTACGTCCTATTAATTACACCGTTTTAACTCCGTGAATTTATGCCTCTCTTATCCCTTAAAATGGTCATATTGGATTGCAAAATTTATGTTGCGGATGAGTGTATAAGTAAATCCTCATTAGATCAAGCCATATAGATTTATTGCAAATGGAGGGCTTTGTGGTAGTTATCATTAGCCATTTAGCTGACTTTAGTTTTCACAGAGGGGAGGAGAAACATCAAGGTCAAGCAAGTGGGAAGAGGGGTGGTTTGGAACAAAAGAATGATTCACAGATGTGAAAGAGACAGGCAGACACAAAGGTAGAGAAAAGGGTAAGGTGAGGTGAGTACTGTGGAAGTGGTGGAAGTCAATTGTTGACCTACTTTTAATATGTTCTGACTTCACAATTTGTTTTGTTTTCAGTAAGGCTATTAGTCTCCACGTGGGTACCTACTCATATGCACCCTACTCTTAACTGTACCCTTTAGGGACTAAAGTTCACTTGCGTATCCATTAATGAGGCGGTGTATTTGACCACATGTGATTCTATTCAACGCTCATTTTCATACAGAGTGTCACACGTTCAAGTGGGATGAACAACAAAAGGAAAACAACCTGAATACCCTCTCTCGGATTTCAGTGTTCTATCAGCTAATTTCATATGAGATTTAGTATAGGGTGGAAGCTCTAGATTTTTTGAAATCGGGGTTATTGATTTGCATGGTTTTGAAATTTGTATGTGCTAGCATGATTTTTTGATAAAATAAAGAATGACATTTCGTCCTCCTCTTGAAGTTGGGTCTCCTGATGATTGATTCAACCCGTTGTGTGAATCTCTTCATTTGTGAACTCGCAACTTCTACTTATTTTTACACACACAAGCATTTATTAGATAAGGTCATTTTGAATTACTTTAATGTGATTTCCATTTGGAATTTACCGCCAAAACGCGTTTATTTGGGCTTCGCATTGACCAACTGGGAGCTTAGGCATCAAGATACAATGAGGGGTTTGTGCAACAATGCCAGGTGCTATTGATTGTCAAGTGACTGAGGCCTCTCTGCGCTCATTATCGCACTTGTTCCCCTACGTGACAAGTATCAGCACATCCCCGCACCTTCGAGTCTGTCAAAGTACGCATGTTCACCCACATGACAGCTTTGTGCACTCCACAAAATAACAGTCAATTGTGAGTGGATTTGTTCGGCTTACAATTACCTAGTGCTCAGTCTTCTGAGTTGTTTGAATGGCGTTTCGACTAAAAACGCATTTAAATGATGTAAATCCTCACTATCTTGTTCCCCATTGAAATCTATTTTAAAAGTCGCCATGATCATGTTTGGTTTTAAAGTGACCTTTCAGACAGCATCTCTTGCCTACTACGTGTTCGTCTTGATACGAATTTCCTCCTCTCTGGAAGAGGTGCTTTCATCTATTCTCAACAGAAGTAGTTGTTCTTCAAACAGTTTTTTTGTAGCATTAATGTTTGGTGGTGATAAAAGAGGAGTACGCGTTCATTTTTCTCTTAAAATTATGGAATCCTTGTCTCCTGCGTATATGCGTGGTATCTGGTTTCAGAGTTCTAATTTGTAGTCATGAAATTGGTAGTCAACTGGCATATGCGTAGATTGTTGCAAAGAGAATTTGCAAAAAAATCCTGGACTCTAATTGCGAAATAGGTATAAACTTTGTCTCGAAAATCAGTACCACTTCTCTCTCTCTGTGTATGTGAGTGTGTGTGTGTGTTCGCATAGTTTCTCTCAAAAGTTTGAATCTCTCTCCTTTGGCGCCAATAACTTGGTTCGTGTGTGTGTGTGTGTGTGTGTGTGTGTGTGTGTGTGTGTGTGTGTGTGTGTGTGTGTGTTGGTAGGACTGACGCCACCAAGTTCTTCGTGCTTTTGATTTCAAGGTGCTTCCATGGCAATCTTGATCTGGCTCGCCTCAATTCTCTCCCTCCCCTCCCCCCTCTCTCTCTCCTTCTCGCTCTATCTTCTCATAGCCTTTTGATGGAAATAAGCGTCCTGCCTCCTCAAATTCAACCCGCGTTCTAAAGAAGACCTCAGAATTATAATCTTCTTGCTTAGTAGGAAGACCGATTAGAGGGGGCGAAAATGCCCTAGCCTTATTTTCTTCTATTTCACGTGTCGCTGTGTTTATAACTTTGTAGTGACTTTGTGGCGGTCCAGTGTTAATTTGTTTATCGAGATGTCATCGAATTTTCACATTTTACTCATCTCTCTCTCTCTCTCTCCCATTTTATCTACTTATATCCACACAAGTTCGCCTTGTTGACTTCGGGTCTGCATTTCCTCACTCTCGCTACGTCCTTGGTCTCCTTTCTCTCTCTTATTTGCAGAATTTATGGGAATGATGATTGGCTCATTCTCTTCAACTTTCCATTGACATTGGCTACTTCACCACCCCCTCTATCCCTTATCAAGTGGGTAGTTCGAAGGGAATTCAAATGCGCGTGCAAGACGTTAAGGTAATCGACTCATCCGAGTGGTTGGAAATCAGATAATGAGATGAGAAAGAAGAAGAAGGCCGAGAAAGTGATGTTAGAGGGTGTGTGTGTGTCTGTCTGTGTGTGTGTACACAAGTCCCGTCATGAGTTCGACTTCGATTTAATGCTCTTGAAGTGACTCTAAGCGAACGAAAATTTTGCAGTTGCTTCTGAGGAAGACTACCTTCCATTCATTTAAGCTAGGTCGAAACAAACATGAAAAAACATTATTTATTTATATCAAATGGCAGGCGTTTTGATGGTTATCATTAGTCCTTTAGTTGGCTTCAGGCTCCACAGAGGGGAGGAACATCAAATTGAGAAAAAGTCGAGAGGGGGAACAGA